TCTGAGAAGCTGCAGGAAGCTCCCACCCAGCTCCTGTTCGGCCTCCATGGGGGCGGCTCCCACTGTATCACTCTCCTCTCCTCTTCTTCCTCCTCCTCCTGTAGCATCATCTGCAGCAGCTGTTGCTTCTTCCATCTCACCTGTTACTTCGGTCCCTGCCCCTCTGGCAGTGGCCAAGCCTGGCCCCTCTACAGCCTTGTCTGGGAGGGCCCTCAGCTCCTGGAGATAAGTGGGCAGGGCTGGAATATGTTCTGTGGGAAAGTCAGGGGGCAGACCTACTATTGGGGTAGGGGGTGGGGCAAGGATGGTGGGGTAATCTTACCGCCCTGAGAAGCTTCCACCTCAGTAGATCCCGCTCTTTCTGCACCTCTGCCAGTTTGGTCTGGGCCAGCCGCAACTGGAAGGCAGCCTCCTTGCGTTCCATCTCCTGCTGTGCTCCAAGCTGCTTCAAGTCTGAGGCCAGGGCATGGGCAGCTGACTTGTGTAGTTTGGCAAAGTCCTGTAGCCACTGCACCCTGCGTCCCTGTAAATGCCCCTGCCTGCGAGCGAAGCGCACACCCAGAGCCAGGCTGCTCCAAGCGCAGGCTTCCTGGGCCTGGCTGGACATCTCGCTGTCCTCCAGGATGGTTCTGATCTTATCTTCCACTTCCTCCCAGGACAAGGTTAGATTGTCAAGGTAGAACTCAGGGCCTTTCACGTGCCTGGCCATCTTCTCGTTGATGAAGGCCACAACCTTGCCATGGCGAAACCCACTACAGGGGTCGTCAGGTTTCAAGGCCATGATATTTCAGGACCTTATGGCTTCCTGGTCCCTGGGAGATGGATCAAACATTTTTTTTCCTTTTTATTTATTTATTTTTTGTGTGTGCTGGGGATCAAACCCAGGGCTTTGTGCATGCAGCTGAGCTATATGCCAAACCGCGGATCAAACATTTGCTGTGTTCTTCACCTTCAGCCTTCTCCCTCACCCCTAGTCCTCTATCCCCATCCCTACCCTGTTACCCTTAGTCCCCACGCCCACCCCTGAATCACCTGTAGCCTCCCACTCTAGTTGCCCTTAGCTCCCCACCCATACTCACACCGCCATGGCCCTTAAAGTCTCTCCTCTCACCCATACCCACCACCCGCATGGCCCATAGCCTTACCCCATGCCTTCAGTCCCCTCCCCCACCCTTAGCCCCTCCCCTCCCTTCAGTCTCCTCCCCTTTCCTTGGCTCCCCACCCCTCTCTTCTCTGTCCCACCCCTCGCTTCTCTGTCCCACCCACTCATAAAGAGCCGCCTCTGCCTCGGTCCCCTCATAGAACGCTTCCCCCCGGGCTCACCAGAGTAGATACAGGGCTACCACAGCCCTCTCCCAGGGAGAAAGGGGTCCCTCTCGCTCCGAGGGCTCCGGGAAAAGGGAGCCACGCGGCCAAATCTCTAGGCTTTTACTCTAGGACTGTTCCAACTCCCAGAGACTGCGGGGGTGCCGAGGAGGGAGAGCGGAAGGTCCCGCCCCCTCCTGGGCTCCTAAGGGAACCCACCACATGGCTGAAAGCCATCGAAGGCGGGAAGAAACGGGACTGGTTAGAAAAGACCCAGAATGAAGAAAATGAAGCTCTCAGAAGTCAGTCCAAAAGGTCCCGCCCCACCATGATGGTTTGTTCCACGCCTGGTGAGCCCCCTCCAATACTTGGAATATTCTAGAACAGGAAGTAACTCCAACACCTCTGTGGCATCAAGTAGCCCCGAAGGAAGAGGAGAAGCCAGGAAACAGCCCATCCCCCAACGCCCACCCAACGGGACACTGCAGTAACTTTGGTAATAAACAGTGGCTATTTCCATCCTCAAAATGTGCCCTGAATCTGTTCACCCCCATCCCTGATATTAGTTTAGACCCCCTCACTTCTTCCCTCAACCACTGCAGCTCTCTGACATCAGATACTGACCCCATCTAACCGTCATCAGTGCGATGTGATCCTGTCTCTCAAAACTTTCAATGACTTTCTGAGGCTTATAGGATAAACTAAAGAGATCCTAGGTTGAGTCCCACTTTTTTGGGGCATTTTTATCATCTTGAATCTCAGTTTCTACCTATGGGCCCAGGATGAGGACAAAATGTTGAAAGTACATGTAAAGTTGAAGAAGTAATTGTTTGTGTGATCCCATTTTTAAAAAATGTAGAAATAAATCTCATATCATACATATGTAATCTAGTATATATTTATATATTTCTATAATCAGATAATTGGAGTGGGAAAGGGTGGCACCACACTCTTACCATAGTTATCTCTGGAAGGTGGAGTTGGATGGAAGGTTAGAAAAAAGTTTTTAACTTTTAAAATACATCTTTCTTTGATATAATGTGTTATAAACATGTAATTACATGTATATACATATAAATAAATAAATAAATAAATAAATAAATAAATAAATAAATTTATTTAAAATATGGAAAGTTATATGCCAGCATTTTAATAATGGTTCTTTGGGAGCTGGAAAGGACTGTGGGTATGGGTATGTGGGGGTGTGTTTGTGTGTGTGGCCTCCCATCTGCTAGGCAAGCACTGTACCCCTGAGCAATATCCCCTTTAAAAAAAAACAACTTTATATTTTTCTCTATTATAAAGATTTTTTATAATAAGCCAGGCACAGTGGTGCATGCCTTTAATTCTAGTGATTTGAGAGGCTGAGGCAGGAGGATCACAAGGTCAAGGCCAGCCTCAGCAACTTAGGGAGACCTTGTCTGAAAATAAAAAGGACTGAGGATGTGGTAAAGTACCCCTGAGTTCTATCCCAAGTACCAAAGTTGTTTTTTAGAATAAGCATGATTTTTTTTCAAACTTTTTGAAAACCTTTTCCCCAATAATGTCTGATCCTGACAAATAATTTATAAGTACCTGAAAAGCACATATCTTCCTATAATTCCACCCTCCCCCTATCCTGGGAGAAACCCATTTTAATTCTTGATACACATCTTTCCAGCCTTTTAAAATAGGCAATAGAAAATAATTTTCAGTTTCTT